AAGCAGATTTTTTTTTTTTTTTGAGAAAGTAAGCCAAAAAAATATATCTTGGGAGTAAATGGTCATTTTTCCCTTTTTTTTTTTTTTTTTTGAGAAAGTAAGCCAATAAAATATATCTTGGTAGTAAATGGTCATTTTTCCCTCTTTTTTATTGTTGATTGGTATGGATTTTTTCAAATTGAAACATTTAATTGGATCCAGGATCTGTAAATGTAACCACATTGGTATTAGAATGAATATTTTTATGTGTGGGAAAAGTACTCATAAATAATTCCTGTTACTAACACAATAATTCCACTAGATGCTGATTTCAAAACTGGAGAAAAATAAAAATATGAAGTTAGAAGACAAAGCTGAAATCATGAAAACTCTGGAGACATTAACCAACAGTATCACCAAGTTAAAGGATGAATTAAAAGGAGTTTCCTCAACAAGCACTCTGGTAAAAAGCATGAAAACAAGGACACAGGTATACAGATTTTTAAAATTTTTATTTTAAATTTATTTATTTGTATCCTGCCTTTATTATTTTTTACAAATACCCAAAGTGGTGAACATACCCAGCATACCTCCTTTCTTCTATTTTCCTCACAACAACAACTGTGAGACAGGCTGGGCTGAGAGAGAGTGCCCACAGTTACCCAGCTGACTTTCACAGCTAAGACGGGACTTGAACTCATGGTCTCTTGCTTTCTATCCTGGTGCCTTAACCACTAGACCAAACTGGCTCCCATTTTGTTCTCTTCAGATCTCTTTTATCTCTTTTTTTATTTAATTAGTTTTATTTTTTCACATCTGATTGTTCGTATGTATTTGTGAGTGTTTACAATTCATTCTTCCCTTCTGGGGAACAATGGAAAAAAAATGTTCCCTCATTCAATCCAAATTTTTGAATGGGGTTTTAACCCACTAGTTTTCCCATACTGGTTGAATGCTTTATAACTTGGTAGATTATTGAATATTTCTGCATCATATGAACTACTTTTATTTTTCCAGATTGTGAATTATGGTTTTATGCTGAATATTAACTCCAAACAAATTATTTGCTTGCTTAGCACTCTGAAGTAATACTGCTAAGCAAACAAAATAATTTGTCCGGAGTTAATTTTCATTATAGAATCATAATTAAGAATCGGGGAAAATAAAAGTAGTTCATTTAAAACTGATTAAAAAGAAAATTATGGTTAGTGTTCTGCTAATGCTCATAACCTCTGTTGGGGACTTCTTTTTCTATATAGCATCCTTGTTATACATCCTGTGGAATCTAGTTATTTCATCTGGTATTTGTGCGTGAGTTAGAAAATGCAAACTGAATTGCTTCCGTAACATTTTAGATGCAGAAAGAACTATTGGATACAGAGTTGGACTTATATAAGAAAATGCAGGCTGGAGAAGAAGTTACTGAATTAAGGAGAAAGTATACAGAACTGCAGCTTGAAGTAAGTATATTTCACTATTGCTGGTTAACATTGTAGATGTTTCACTTCTTGTCTATGTAATGCAAAAATTATTTTAAGCAGAAATCACCGTAAAACTTTTGTTTTTATTGGAGGTCTTGGACTTGGATATTTCTGTTCACTTGTCTTCAGCAATTTTGTCTTTAACTTAAGTCACTATTCAGGAGGCATTTTTACAATGTACCCATAGATGGTGCTATTGGTGTTTAGAAGTATTGAAATGTCTCTCACCTATTTCCCTGGCCTTTACGATTCACTGCCTCTTTTCCTTACTAGAAATATATATTAACAGAAATAGGTCTTTGTTAAATGTAGCTTGATCTGGGTTCTGCTGTTTTATAAAGGGAATCTAAGTGACAAATAACAGCACAATTTGGTGTTTCTTTCATTAATTCCGTAAACCATCCATTATGCAGCAGACAAGTGTTAAAAAATTAACACATACACAGAGAGACATACCTTTCCAGTTCATTCAGTTGAATTTTGGCTCAGTCTATGGCATGTATATTTGGAAGGCATATTTTAAATATATTTGCTTTAGTTTCACTTTCTTTTAAGAAAAAGTTATCATCAAAGAATTAAACCACCAATGACAAAGATTTGGGTTAGATTTGAACCCTTTTTTTTCTTTCAATGTGGCATAATTAGCATTCCCTTCCCTAATTTTTCTCACATCAAGAAACCTCTGGGAAAATTCAGTTGAGACAGAACAGGTGATCTAAAGTCACCCAGTTAACAGAGTCACCTTTGCTTTAATTTCATGAGCCAGCCTTATGGCATCAATCTGTAAGAGCCATCTACACTTCAAAGATGATAATGCTATACGTATGATTATAAATTACATAATGCAGAGCATTGTTCTAAAGTTGAAAATGCATGCAGAGAATATCTCTCATTTTGGTCTCTATGAACACTTTTTATTATTACTAGGCAGCAAAACGAGGCATTCTTTCCTCTGGCCGCGGGAGAGGAATGCACGCACGAGGTCGAGGGGTATCTCGTGGGAGAGGTAGGGGAGGTCGAGGCCGGGGTCGAGGAAGAAGTCTTTCTGTTCACGCTGTGGTGGATCATCGTCCTCGAGCCCTTGAAATCTCAGCTTTTACGGAGAATGACAGGGAAGATCTCCTTCCTCATTTTGCGGTATGTACCTGTCTATGGAGATTCTCGGTCATCCAGGTCATGGTTATCCTAAAGATGCTTTTTTCAAGAGGCAACTGGACTGTCTTGGTTTTTCCTTTGAGGACCTTTCGCTTCTCATCCAAGAAGCTTGAACTATCTTGTTCTGCTAATCTTAGTACGTATGTGTGATTTTTTGTGTATGGGTGTGTGTTACCTCTGACATTTTCACTGTGACTGATGAAATACTCAGGCCAAGTTAAATTTGCTGAACTTCTTCAGATGTTCCTTAGAACATCTGAAGAAGAACATCTATTGCCATATTTTTTTCTGCAGGTGTGGGAAAAGGCAGGACAGGATAGGAAATAGCAATTTTGCATGGTTGTTAACAATGAGGGAGAGAATGAAAATAAAGAAGCCTATTTGAGTCCTTCTCTTTTGTGCCATATCCATAATCGGATATTGACGATCCTATTTTTAGCAACAGCTGCACAAAAAACTCCATCTGGGTTACTGATTTGTAATAAAGAATTGGGTTGTGTTGTGTTGGGTTGGGTTCATACTCCATGATATACAGTATGTGCCTTTGATCCATACATCATGACATCATAAATCCTAGATGTAGACCTTGCATCCTGCTTGTTTAACTTAAGGTGTGAACTTGGTGCTCTCTAAGCTTGGTTGCTTGGTTTCAGAGGTTGCTCTGAATTGGTTGCTCCCAAATAGGCAGATTATGAACAGATAACATTATCTTGCAAGGTTTTTTAAAAAAAAACATGCTTAAACTTTTCTTATATTCAATTTCCTTTCAAACCATTTTTTATACTTAACTTTTTAATAAAAAAAAGCACAGTTCTACAGTTATTTTAGATTTGGAATCATTGTCAGTGCAAATTGTATCTAAATGCTCTTAGCTTAAAGTTAGCAAAGAATAAATATGTTGCCTAGATGAGAATTTTTTTTCCTTTTAAAAGCAATATGGTGAAATTGAAGACTGCCAGATAGATGATTCTTCTCTCCATGCAGTGATTACATTCAAAACAAGAGCAGAAGCAGAAGCAGTAAGTACATCCCTGCCCTTTTTTTTTTCTTCAAATATGTTTATATTTGAAAGTGAAATGTTTTTATACGTCCTGTCTTTGGAGCATTGCAGTCTTCCAAAATCTGATTAACTCCTATCCTTTTCACTTTTAGGACAGTTACTAAATCTTTTCAAGATAGTTCTGCAAATATATCTGCTGTGTATCATGGGTATTTTATACTAAGCACTGGAATGAGGGAGGGATAGATAAAATTAGGTAAAGTCTTCATTTCAGGCAGTTGTACTTTCAGTATTTGTTCTACTGAATATTATTCTAGCTTAAATTATTTAATTAAATACAACAGATCTAGTGAAATAGTATTTCTGGGCAATCACCTCAGATGTTTGCATCACAATTTAAGATACCAGAAGAGAAAATGAACGTTGGCTATGAATATTTCTGAAAATATAATTTCTAGCATTCATTTAGTTGTTTCCTGGAGCAATGGCAGTGGAAATGACGTCTGTGAAGAATGTCTTTCATTTCTCCTTTTATTTCAGTTGAAATAAATCAAGAATCAAGAATGTCCAATATGAAACTTAATAGTTCTAAGTCTACTTATGTCCAATACTTTTGTTGCTTTATTCACCAGTGTGTGAATATTCTAAAATTAGAAAATATTAATGTTATTAATTTTAATAATGTTATTGATTTTAATATATTTAATCACTTATCTTCCAAAAATTAAAGATATTTTGGTAAAAAAATTCAACTTGGAAAGATTTGTGCCCTAATGTTGGAGCTATAAAAGCACAGCATATGATCGTATGAATTTAATAATTTACTTACTAGTGTCAAATCACAGTTCGCTCAAATGTTGAACATTTGCAAGTTTATTATGCCACAGATATAATACTGTGGATGGGGTAGCCTAATTAAAAATGAAGGATAATAAATAAAATATATACAACTCAAATCTGTACTTGTCAATAAACTGAATACGGCACAGTATATTTTTTGAAAATATAACTTGGAAATTGGTGAGAAAAATAAAATCTAGACATGAAAAACCAGATGAAGATAGGCAAGAGTATTGCCTATAAGAGGTCTAAGTGCACTGGTGGATTGTCTCTTAAATATGAGTCAGCAATGTGGTGTAGCTGCCCACACAGTCCAGGACTGCATCAACAGAAGGATAGTAGCAAGATCAAGTGGAGTTGTAGTATCACTCTATACTGTACATTTGGAATACTGTCTCCATTTCTGATCACCATGATACATAAAAGAAGATGATGCTGAGGCCCTAGAAAGTGTGCAGAGAAGAGCAACTAAAATTGCAAGGAATCTAGAGGCTAAATTGTATAAAGAACAGCTAACTAGGTATATTTAAATTTGCTAACTTAGCAAATTTAAAGAATATGAAGAGAGTTGATAATAGTCTTCCAATACTTAAAAGGGTTGCCACAGGGAAGAGAGTGTTGACTTATTCCCCATATCACCTGAGGAAAAGCAATGGGTAGATGCTTGTCGGAGGGCTATCCAACCTGCAAATAAGAAATTTCCTGACAATGAGGACTATTAAAAGCAGTGCAATTGCTTGTCTCTAGAAGTTGTGGATGCCCCATCACTGGAGGTTTTCAAGAAAAGATTGGGCAACCATTTGTACCGGGACAGTATGAGGACTCCCTATCTTGGGAGGTTGACCTAGAAGGCTTTCAAAGTTCCTTCCAACCTTAGGATTCTAGATTTGATTCTGTGGAAAAAGAGACTGTAGAAATTCATTTCTCAATTAGCTTCAGCTTCATGAGATTTCTTCGAAGGAACGGTAGTGAATATTTTACTGCCTTGAATGAAAAAAGGTTAAATTTTATGATCACATACATTTGGGTTTGAGATGATTCCCTAGTCGCGAAATGTTACATTTTTATGTTGCTGTAATTTTTTTCAGAGATTACCATGTTTTTTAAAAGCTCAAATGTCATATATACTCAGTGTTTAAAATCCCACTTTGTGGTGTTGTGACAAGACCATGTACAAAAAAGTCTCCCGAGTTGCATTTTAATAGGTTTGTGGTATCTTTTAAAATTTATCATAAATTTATATGTACAGATTTAAAATTTATGCCTAGGGACTTTAATATCACACAATTCATGTTCAGATGTCATTGGACATGTAATTGTTTCCACATTTCACATTATGCTGTACTTTCAGATTATACCATAAATCTTTTTTTGACCATGGCAGTTATTATTTCAGAATGATGCTAACACTGATTTATGCTAGTTCATGTTACTTTAATTTGGAGGTACTATTTCCAAAGCAAGCACTTAATGTATCTGATACTTGAAGGCATGAATATCCCAAAGGTTTATTTTTTTTAACAACTCAATTGCCAGACTTTTGCCGAAAATAGAATGTTTTACTGCAAGATGAATTAGATTCATGAAGTTTATTTTTTATTTATTTATCAACCCATTGTGTTATCAAGATGCCATGTTTTGGATTGCAGTCTTCTTGATATTAATAAATATCAGCATTTTGGAGAAAAGCACAAATAAGGAAATGATTCAGTAACAGTTGGCTGTCTAATACAGTGCGATGCAAGTTTGAGAAGTTTAATTTGAAGTTCTTTTTTAAATATATACTGTATATATAGTAGTGCAATAGAAGGGAGAGTTGTAAAAATGGAAAGTACTTTCATACGCTTGATTATAAACTCTGAAATAATTTAATGGAGCATTAAGCCTATTTTGCATTTAATGAATTTCTGTAATCAGAGGCAGGGCTTATTTTATCTCTATTAAAAGCTAGAAATAGAAATCATAGAATCAGTAGAAGAATGCCAAAAAACTGCATTTTGTCCTCTGGCTTTTTTTTACTATTTTTCCTTGGGACATCATCACCCTGTGAGATATCATAAGGCTCTTGATATATTTTACTTCGTTTTAAATGCCTTGCTACGTAGCATAATAAATGCAGTCCTTTAGGCGCATGGAGATATTTGTGAGCTGTTCTTTCTTGTGCTTTCTCTGGTCCTTGGTTCGCTTCCTTTTCTGCAGTTGATTATAGGATATGTGTGTGTGTGTGTTTTTTCCCTAAAAATATTTTTTGCCCCTAGGCCGCTATCCACGGATCTCGATTTAAAGGGCAAGACCTGAAGTTAGCATGGAACAAGCCAGTAACAAATATGTCAACCGTGGAAACTGAAGAGACCGAGCCAGATGACGAGGAAGTAAGTGTACAAGGAGATGAAGGAGTGTGAATGTTTATCTCTTTGGTTGTTCTAGGACAGGCTGCATCTTTTTCTCAATCATAAATGTTTGAAGAAGGCATACTACTGATTAATTTAAGAGAAGTGCTCACCATTTTTACATTTAAGAAAGCAGTATCCCTTAAAGAAAATGCTGTCTTGGTAACAAATGGATATTAGGAAACATAAAAACATGGCATTCACAGGTAGTCCTCAACTTAAAGCCACAATTTGGACTGGACCTCCATCACTAAGGGATGTTGGCATAAAGTGTGATGTTACGTGATCATATCACTTAGTGATGGCAATCCCAGCAGTCTTGGTGGCCATTGTAACTCCAGACACATCTTTTCAGAGATGACAGATAGCAGTACTAAATTGAAAGCTCTGAAATTCATAATGTTTGTCTTTGTATAATATTTTAACACACTTTTTAAAATTGTAGTATGATCTTACTACTAGAATTGTATAGTGTGTGTGTAGCATTTATTGAAGTTACATCTTCACATTAGTAACAAACATCTGGCGCAGTGGTTAGAGTGCAGCACTGCAGGCTACTTCAACTGACTGCAATTCTGCAGTTCGGCTGTTCAAATCTCACCGGCTCAAGGTTGACTCAGCCTTCCATCCTTCCGAGGTGGGTAAAATGAGGACCCGGATTGTTGGGGGCGATATGCTGACTCTGTAAACTGCTTAGAGAGGGCTGAAAGCCCTATGAAGTGGTATATAAGTCTAACTGCTATTGCTATCCTGTATTTATTGGTTCCTTCAATTACACTTTAGTTAACAAGTTATGTGAGTAGATTTTTTTTCTCTTCAATAAATGCATATACGTAATAGATTTCCAATCAAAGTTTCTTCAACCGTTTAGCATGATTTTATTACAGGTTTTTACAAAGATAAAAATCCACCATTACTGCTATTAAAGTTACATACGAATATTAAAATGTATGTAACAATCAGATTCTAGAAATATCAGTTGTAGGGTAAATTATGGGTGCAGAATTCCACTGACTTAACCATAAATTTTATCAGAGTTGCTGTTCCATTGTCATGTCATTTATTTTATTATTTATAGTCTTAATCTCTGGCCTTTGTGCAAGCACCTTCTAAAAGATGTATATTTCATCTCTGGGAAATTACTTTTGTATTTTTTTCTTTAAAATTGACTATTTCCAAACTAGAATTTCATATAAATTGCAGAAAATCTACATGAATTAATTTAAATATTTTTCTACATTTTTTTTTTTTTTTTTTGTGATCAAGGGATTTTTGGAGCGCTAAGACACAATACAAAATCCAGTTTTTATACAATTCAGGCTCCTGTGCCTTATCTTTTCCATAGAATTTGAATTTATTTCCATAGATCAGTCCTTGTACCTCAAATGTATAGAGAGATTATTAGGCAGCGTGACTTCTAATGGTATGCAACAATATGACTATGAGGATAGTCCAACCAATTTAGTTGTATTTATTTTGTACATTGACAATAAAGAAGAATTGTTTTCCCACATTGCTCATTCACGTTTCCATAAACCACATTTTAAATACTGTGTTTAGTTTTGGTCACCATGATATTAAAAAGATGATGAGACTCTAGAAAGGGAACAGAGGAGAGCAACATTACAAACAAATAAAAATTAGGGGATTGGTGGCTAAAACATACAAAGAATGATTGCTGTATATCTAGTCTATTTAGTCTAATGAACAGGAGGACTAGGAGTGACATAACATTCTTCCAAAACAGAGAAGAGGGCTCAACCTATTCTCCAAAGCACCTGAAGGCAAGACAAGAAGTAGATGGAAACTTTATCAAGGAGAAATAAAAAAGATAAACAGAAATTTCCTAATAGAACAATTAACCATTGGAATGGCTTGGCTCCAGATGTTATGGTGTTCTGTCACTGGAGGTTTTAAGAAGACAACCATTTGTCCGTAATAGTATTGGTCTTCAAACACTAGTTTGTTTTGCTTGTCATTTAAAACACCAGGTCATGATTTATATACAAGTAAAGGCCTGGGATTTACTAACTGAAACTACAGGTAAGGCAGCAGGTAAAAACACAGTCTTGAAGCTTCACATAGGTTTGTGCGTATTTTTGCCCTTCTCTTTTTTGAGGTATACTTTAGATATCAACTATTTGACTGAAAACCTAAATAATTTGGAATAATTTGGATACATTCAGTGCTAGAAATTGCATAGTTCTTCACATTTTGTTACTTCACTTACACCAGCATAACAGCTTGACAAATAGTTGAAACGCCTCCCCCCTGCCAAATATTCTTTGGTTTTCAAAGATCCTTTTTCAGTTTGATATCTGTATATTGAATGAAATAAATAGAGGTAGTCCTTGATTTGCAACCACAATTGAGCCGAAATTTTGTGTTGCTCAGTGAGGCAGTTGTTAAATGAGTTTTGCCCCATTTTATTACCTTCCTTGCCATAGTTGTTAAGTAAATCACTGTACCTGTTAAGTTTGTAACATGGTTACAAACTTGTTAATTGGATTTGGCTTTGCCACTGATTTTCCTTGAAGACCCCAGGACACTGCAACCATGATAAATATGAGTCAGTTGCCAAACATCTGAATTTGGATCGCATGAACCTGGGGATGCTGCTGTAAGTGTGAGAAATGTCCATAAACAACTTTTTAAAACTTCCAACAGTCTCTTAATGAACTGTTGTAAGCCGAGGACTGCCTTTAGTAATGATGATTTTTTTAAAAATTAAACAAAATGTGCTTGCCTATCCTTTCAAGGTTCTGATTTGCATAATCTCAGATTCTAATGGATGTATTTCTTCCAGCAGAGTCTTATTAAATATTTCTTTTAGTTTCAGGAAGAATCCTTGGTAGATGACTCATTGCTTCAAGATGATGATGAAGAGGATGATGACAATGAATCTCGTTCATGGAGAAGATGATTCAACTGATCAGAGACAGCGCTAGAGATTTAGCTACATTGCATTAACATTTCCTAAAGAACTTTTGAATATTTGTACTGCAAGACAATTGGATGGAAAGAGAGATGGATTTCAGATGAGAAACAAGCGGCTGATTGATCCTGTATTTTGAGTGATTGATGTTCAGGTTGCATTTACATTTCGGTAAATGATTGCTACAGACATCGTATTAGGAACATATGCAATGTTTTTATTCTATGGAAACATTACAGAATTCTTTGGATTCTTTGTAATTTAAAAACAATTGGTCACACATCAAAATGACCAAACGTTGCTATAACATAGAATATTCTTTGTTTGTTTGTTTTATTCCAAGTATGGAATGAAAATTTGCATTTAAGATCTTTGTGAATGTTTTCGGAAATAATAGATAACAGTACTAAACTGAAGTCTCTAAAGTTATGTATTCATAATATTGCATAGTAGTATGCTTAGGCTTTACTATGTACTAGCCTTTTGTTGGATTTGTGAACGTATTTTACGTATGAGTTTTAACGATACAGTGTATGATTGCTTTGCATATATCTCTTTATCACCTTAAGATGTTAAAAAAATAAAGAAATGGAATGGTCTTGGGGAAAAAAAAGAAAAAAAAGCAATAATAATGAAATTATACCCACAGCCCATGATAATGGCAAAAAAAATAATAATTAAAAAGATTTTTAAAAAATTCCAAGAGACCATTCCAAGTGGCAATCCCAACCCCCCAATCGTCAAGAAAAGAGCTGAATCACTGTCATTTTTTCACTTCATAATGAATAAAACAATACAGAAAACAAGGCATTGAAGCCATATTGCTCAGTTTACATATATACAGTGCGCTAAAATCTTTTGAAACACACTTTAAACTGCTAAACTGGCAATCTAACGTCAGATGGAGTTCTTGCATTGAAGCAAATCTTCCTCACGCCCGGGGAATCGAAAATCACTTTCTCCTGCGAAGAAGACTTGAGCTTAAAGATCCGTAACAAAATGAGTTGCAAAACTGGTATGTACTTTTTTTAGTTATTAATCGCTTAAAATAGTTCAAAGAATCCAAATAGAGTTTCCTATCGAAACGGTGCATAGTTTGAAGCTCTTTAGACCAAGAAAACGTAATTTATCCTAATTCTGTTAGGATAGTTCTGTTGTATTTGTTAAATAAGCAGGAAGTTGCTCTCCTTTGCTCTTTACTAAGACTTTTTTATTTGTATTTTATATTATAATGACCATGATAAGTGACTTGAGAGCTTGCCTTATTCAATCTGGTTTTTTTGTTGTTTTTTTTGGCCTGCTGCTTCCTGTCCCTTTCTCAACCTCCTTCCGAGAAGGCGCCAAATTACCTAGCGTAAAATACAGGAGCAGGAGGGATGATAGCATTTAATATTGGTTTGGATCCTAAAACATGATAGAAATTTGTAAAAAACAAAAGCAAAGAACCCTGCTTTTCTGGATACAATTTCCTATATCCTCTTTCCTGTAGTCCAGGAATATTTCCTTACTTACCAATAGCATTTTTTCTAAAGATCATAAGTAACTGAAACTGGAAGGAATAGAACATACTTCCATTAATTTCCTTAAATGATTTTACCTAGGTTCCTAAGCCATCAAATTTCATCCTAGAATATAGTATTTTGCATATCCAAAGATGAGAAATTCAAAGTGCTGTATAATAGTGACCTTGCTGAAGCTAAACAAGAACAGGTCTGCGCATTGGTTTGATTAAAAGCCTTGTGCTTTTAAGTAATGTTGACTAATAATTAATAACTCTTAATTACAAAACTGATATATTTCAAGAATACATTGAGTGTTTCATTACAAGAGACTATTTCTGTTTTCTTTTAGGCAAAGGGGAAAAAAGACCACATGTAATCTTCAGTATTTCAAGATGTACAGTGCAGACTGAAATGCAGTACAGCATTCTTAATAGAAGTAGGTTCTAGAATCTCTTAATTGATTTTTTTATGGAATCTGATCGATAGATTGCTGATAACTAAAGTGTTATATTGTTATACAGCTTAACAGAGCCTGAGTTACCACTTAGAAAGTATCTCATTCTGGCAAGAGATGAATTTGACCACAGTTCTATAAAATTTCAGAAAGTAAGAAATATATGGTCTCTTTATGGAGCAATGAAAATAAAAAAAATCACACCATGATAAATGACTACTTGGATCTGAAATGACTCTATGTTTATTTCTTGAAGTTCTGAATGCTTTTAGATGCCGCATTTGCTGCATTTTATTGCAAACAACACTGAAATAAATGAGGCAGCAATATAAGATGTTTTTGTTCTTTAGGAATTTCAGCACAGAAGTACTAGAAAGTTTCAGCTGCAAAAAAAATTCCCATCATTTGAATCTTCCCTAAGCAATGTTGAGAAATGGTAGTCAATGCAGCTTACCATGGATAATTTAGCTGCATTATCTTAAGAAATGCTGAACCAAGCATTTGCTTCAACATTGCAAACAATATTTTTAAATTTCTAAACGAATGGATGGCCATGTAATGCTTTGCTCCTGGGGGAAAAAAACCTGAGTCAAGGTAGGCTTAATTTTAAAGCAGGTACGTATAATTATATATATTCTCTGGGGAAATTGATTATTTTGAAAGAACAATAGTATTAAGCAACATTTCTTCACAATTTGTTGTGATGATTTATGTCTAGGGAAAATGCAGGTAGTCTTCAACTTACCACCAGTTCATTTAATGACAGTTCTAAAAAGTGACATAACCACTTTACTGATGTTACTAATGCTCTTCTCAGATTTGTGGTATCCAAGTTAATATCCAAATGAAAACAAATATGCAACCTGGTTGGATTTTTTTAAAAAATCCACTTAATTGCAGAAATGTTTCTGGTACCTTCCTAACTGAATCTCTGGTACTCTCATTAACGAAAACCTTGAACTATTGCTGAATTAATGATTATAGATTGAGGACTATCTGTAATAATAGTAATCAGCACAGTCTGATCAACTGATCAGGGCTATAGAGTGTGTAAAATTTGGAGGAATAAAATATTGTTTAGAAAAAGAGATTATTTTTAAACTAGAGGAAGAAAGATCCTTCAGATATATAGATACATATACACCTGCAGACAAAGAAAAATAAGGTGATTGTCTGTCTGTCTATCTATATCTATCTGCCTTTCTATCTGTCTATCTTATTTTAACCTTATTTTTATTTATTTGAATATATCTGTTGGCAGTTTCTTGTCTTCATATGAACCTACTGCAGCTCTGGAGAGTAGCTAGGTGAAAAGAAATAGTTCCCATAATGAGTTGCTGGTAAGTAGCCATTTTGTCCCCCCCATGCTCCTTTTCCCCCTTGAGTCCAAAGGCTGGCACAAGGCGGATTAGCAATAGCAGATTACCAACTTTAAGACATCGGTGTGATAGAAAAGCAAATGTTTATTTTATGTTATAAGTTTATATAGAGTTGGAATTATATGGGCTGATTTTAAATGACCTACAGTAAAACTCTTGACATGCCACATTTTGAATCAGGTGGTTTTTGATCCATCTTTAAAGAGATGAAAAAGACCCAATTAATCAAGTTCAGTTACAGTTTATTAGAAAAGGTGTTTAGCAATCTGCCTTTTTTTCTTTTCAATCTTGGGAATCACATTTTTATTTTGCTTACTTAATGCTAATTTACTTTACTAGGAGTTGCTTGTTTTAATTGTAATAATTTTTATTGTGTTATTTTCTTTTACCCAGTTTTTGTTCCATGAACAAAAATCACAGCTATCTTTGTCCATAAATCTTTTCACAGTATCTTTAAGGGGGAAAAAAAACGGTAAAGTTATAAGGTTTTTAGAAGTGGTTTTAAAAACTTCAAAGTCTAGCCAGTTGTCTTTTACAAGCTTGATATAAAAATGCATGCATTGAATGAAATGTATGGAATTGATCTAAAAGTATATATTTTTGTATTGCTGAAGCAGGTTTTTTAAAGAGATGTTTTTATATTTTCAGCCTCCTGCCAAAGTTGGCAGAAATATTCAAAATGTTTTCAAAAATGCAAATATAGCATGAAGGGTTATCTACTCTTGGACTATTTTTGAGTTGCAGGCATGAAATATTATTTTTATTCCCAGTCTATTTTGCGGCTAAGGGCGTAAGAATGATAAATATATTGTTTACAGTATTGAGGCTAATATGAAAAAAGTATGGCTTTTTTGCACAGTTACAAGTCTGAGAGCTTTACTGTAGATTGATGATTTTTCTCCTGGTTTTGCACTACTGAGAAAAATTGCTAAATGTTATTGACAGGTAAATGGAAAGATGTAATCTTGTGATTTAAATGGACATCTTCAGTTCTCTTTCAAATGATAAAACAATTTCTAAAACAACTCAAATATACTTGACTGATAGACATATTAATGAATCTAGTAGTTGACTTTCACATTAGCAACATTTTTTTCCCTAAATGAAAGTTTTAATCACCATATACTATAACCTTTTATGCAGGTTATACAAAAATAGAAAAGCAGATAAGAATGCTTAATTTCAATCATTTTCATATTTCCATGACTTTTGTAATTGCAGGGGGGGGGGGAGGGAGCTTTTCTGTTATAGCAAAAGTAATTATTCTTGGTAATATATTTGAGAATGAAATAAAAAGCCAGCACTTTATAAATGCTGCATGTATTTTTAAAAGAATTCTGCACATTGGAGGCTAGGGGGCACTGTCTACATAACTAAAGCTAATTTCATTTTCTTTTATGCGTCAGTTTATCATCAGACCTTTACAATCTAACAAACGAATCTTTATGTTTTGCTATGCAAAATACGGTATGTATTCCTACAAAGAACTCATTTAAAACTTATTTTTATCTAAGCCGGTGTATTCCTCTCAGGGATCCATCATTGCTTAAGATCATTATCATGAAATCATTAATGGAACTCATACTAATATCCCTTAGCAAATGCAAGCTTCACCTGCATTACAATCATGTACATTACTCTTCATGCACGTTAGTGAAAGAAATTCAGAAGACTTCAGTGAATCATAGAAAAGCATTTCATTCTGGAGAAGAGCCCACAACGACTTTCCTTCTTTAAAAAAGTACAAGTTTTCCAATTAATTGTCACAGTTTTATTTGTTCATAATCTCCCAATTATGATAAACCTGACTTTTTTATTTAGCAGCTGCTTCCAATGTTTTACTCCTTTTTCGGGCATTTTCAAAATAAACCATATGGACATTTCTTCCCTATTTTTTAGATGTTCATATTAACATCTTAGAAAATAGAAGCTGCACAGAATGCTTGCGAGCATGGTGGTCAAATTGTGAGGCAGTCATTGAAATGAAAATAAGAAAAATAGAAAAGGAGCATTTTCATGCTTTGAGGAGAAATGCAGTCAAAAGTATTGTTCAATCTGCAAAATTATATGTCATAGTCTATATGTTGTCTGATTAAATTTACCTTCGGATGCTTGGTTGCAATAGTCTAACATGGTTACCTATCTTCTGATTAAAAAGATTTATTTCCCCGTTATCTCCTTAGCGATCTGCATTTTATTCTAAATAACCATAAGAAAATTCCTTACTTGCCAACATTTGGCAATAAAGATTAGTTCCTTATGTCGTAATGTTCGTTAAATATTTTTGATTTTAATATAAATATATTTTTTAAAAAAATGTTATTGTATTGTACAATTTTTGATGGTTTCAACATCTAGCTTTTAACAGAACTTTTTCATATTTAGATGATAAGGTTTTGAAA